ACCCGCTGTTTCCAGGGCATGGATCTGTAGGATTTTGGGGAGCCGAGCCCAGATTGACCCGCTGTTTCCAGGGCATGGATCTGTAGGATTTTGGGAAGCTGAGCCCGACGTGACCCCGCTGTCTCCCCCCAGGTCTCCACCTCGATGGAAGCAGCTCCAGCACCCCACAGAAACCTCCCCGGAGATCAGAGGGAACGACCCCCCAACCCCCCGACAGCCCCGGGGACCCCAAAAACTGCAGGAACGTGCCCGAGGGAGCCGCAGCAGGAGCTGGTTTGAGCTGGAGGAGCTCGGGGCTGTAATTTATTGTGGGCAGGTAAGGAACCATCCCAATTTCCTCCTCCGGGACTGCCGGGACGCCGAGCCCTTCCCGGAGCTGCCTGGAGCCGGGACCGCCAGGAAAATTCCTCCAGGATGAGGGGAAAGGGAAGGGCTGGAGCCCCTCAGGAGCCCTCCAAGGACCTCGGGGGTCCCCCCGTTTTTATCCTGCTCCGAAGGCTCCACGTTCCCATGGATGAGGATTCGGGGGGATCTGGGGGCTGCTGACCCCCCCCCAGGGCACCCCCAGGCACTCCTGCCCCGCGGATGGGACCTCAGAATGTCCTGGTGGAAACTCCCAATCCTTTGGGATTTATTTGGGATCCAGGAACGCCCTGCTGGGAGCTCCCAATCATTTGGGATTTATTTGGGATCCAGGAACGCCCTGCTGGGAGCTCCCAATCCTTTGGGATTTTTTGGGAACCCAGGAAAACGCTGCTGGGAGTTCCCAATCCATTGGAATTTATTGGAAACCCAGGAAAACCCTGCTGGGAGCTCCCAATCCTTCGGGATTTATTGGGAACCCAGGAAAACCCTGCTGGGAGCTCCCAATCCTTTGGGATTTATTGGGAATCGAGGCTGGAGACGGAGGGGAAGGGCCCATGGAGGTGTTGGGGTGACCAAAACAACCCCAATAAAGCCCAGGGGGAATTTTCCAGGGTTCAATCCATGTTTTTCCTATGGACATAGTGTTGCCTCTGCACCTCCCTCAGCTGGGCTGCTTTTATTGGAATCAGGCAAAAAAAAAAAAAAAAAAAAAAAAAAAAAAAAAAAAAA